AACGACCGAAAATGGCCAAAACCCCTAATTTGTTTCACTTTCACTCTCTCTAAAAAGAGTAATTTTTTTCTACCTTCTCTTTTTTTTCCTTGTCGGGGGGGCCGAAAGCCTCCAGGCACTGCTTGCCGGAGCACTCCACTGTCGCCCACGACGGCTGGAGTTTAACTAACCTACTCAAAACAACGCTCGTCCTACCTTAAACCCAAAAACAAGCATCACTTCCCCTAAAACTACCCCTATCATCCTAGATCTAAAAGAAACGAAGGGGTTACCTTCAGTTTTCGACGACCCCTCCTTTATCTCCGGTTGTGAGAAGCACAACTTCGGGTGGTAATTCTATCTTTCTTCTCTTTCTCCTTTCGAAAAGTCTCAATTCTTCGTGTTGTTGGTTGATATATATCACCGAAAAAAAGAGGATTTTTCCTCTTTTGTGCTTCTTTTTTTATTTCAATGTTGCATGTTTTAGGTAAGGGTTTGACATTTTTTGCTTGTTTTCCCTTTTTTTTTTGCTTCTATTACTTTGACTGAGAAGAGTGAGACACGCCGGACATACGTACGAATGAGGTAAAAATATTTACCCCGAGGCCCTCTTCTCAAACTTTTCATGGTGACAGGATATGGTGGTAGACCTCGAGAAGGTGAGAAGTCACGGGGTAAGGCTTGATCGGGCGTGTGTGGGTTGATGACGCGTGATGGTTGCTGGATCGACGCGCGTGCATCTCACGCGCGAGATCTGGACGGTTGGAGTCTCGGCGGCGTTGGGACCTGATGGGAGCTAGGACTTCTGTAAACCCTAGAAACTTGGGCTCACTTCAGTTTAGGCTTGTTGGGTTGATTCGGGCCTGCTTCAGCTGGGTTGTAACGTTGGGCCTCCAATTGGGCTCAATTTTTTGGGCCATAGTTTTTGGGTCTTAATTGTATTTAATTTTGGGCCTGTAAAATTAATAAAAACATAAATAATAATAATAATATTAAATATTAATAATATTAAATAACAATAACCTAGACAAAACAAGCATCTATAGCTGCCCCTCTTTGTCCATGTTTATGTTAACAAGAATATGGCACGTTTTTGTCCGGTTCCATCTCGATGCTGCCTCAAGTGAGGTTGACAGATAACCCGAAGGATTTAATCATCATGCTCGAAAGACTTATTGGTGGCCCGAAGGACTTATCTTGAAAATAGTTTATTAGGTAAGAAATTTTGGAAATGATTTTCTTACTTTTCAAAAAAATCATTTTCTGAAAACATTAAATGAGAAACTTTGAAAATTGTTTTTCTCATTCTTCACTATCATCATATAAAAACATATTGCCCAAAGGTCTTATAGATGGTCCAAAGATTTATCATCTTGCTCGAATGACGGACAGATTAAAAATTTCATTTAATCTCAGACTAAATTACAAACTTCGTCAGTGTTGTCTTTAATACCGTGTCAAGTTTGTAATTAGTCAATTAAGTTATTTCTTCTCATCACTTTTGAAAGGAAATCTCAGCGCTGGTATCTTTGACCTTGAATCGTTATAGACCATTTTGACAGTAAACCATACTTGATTGAATTAGTTAGGTTACGTATCTCTTAAATCGCTTGGTTTTGTTTATGGATCCTGGAACTTGATGACAAAGTCCTTTATTTGTGAAGGTGTATGAACGTATCAAAGCACCAATGTTGACCCTTGTTGGTTCAGGAATCCCAGAACAGTCTTACGCTGTATTAAGTCATTTGCACCTCTTGGTGATGCGGGCACCTTATATATTTTCCTCAGACTACAAACACTTCTACTGTCAGTATAATGAACCATCTTATGTCAAACGATTGAAGCTTGAAATGTTGACTGCAGTTGTAAATGAGAGCAATACTTATGAGATAGGTAAGTAAATATCCTCACACTTGTTTTTAAGGGACTCTGGGAAAAAGATGACATCAATAAACTTTTAGGTGATGTTTGTTTTCACTGTGCAAGCTCTTCAAACCACTTATGTCTGCGTCGCGCAGACCACGCGCAGACATTAGGCTTCGCAGACTGTTTGTTTTTTAGAAGATAAAAGCCCTTCAAACGTCTACGCGAGCTCTTCTTGGTGCATACTTGGTTTTATGTCTTCAAAGGTCTTCAAACCTCTTCAAGAACAATTATAAAATATAGTTATTTATTAAAATAATTTTAAATAATTTAATAAGGTTATTTATTTTAAAATAAATTATTTTAAAATAAATTATTATAAAATATGGATTGATTTATTTTAAAATAATTTATTTTAAATAATTTATTAGTATGAATTGATTTATTTTAAATAATTTATTAGTATGGATTGATTTATTTTAAAATATGGATTGATTTATTATTGTAGTTGTATGGATTGATTTATTTTAAATAATTTATTAGTATAGATTGATTTATTTTAAAATATGGATTGATTTATTTTAAATAATTTATTAGTATGGATTGATTTATTTTAAAATATGGATTGATTTATTTTAAATAATTTATTAGTATGGATTGATTTATTTTAAAATATGGATTAATTTATTATTGTAGTTGTATGGATTGATTTATTTTAAATAATTTATTAGTATGGATTGATTTATTTTAAATAATTTATTAGTATGTATTGATTTATTTTAAAATATGGATTGATTTATTTTAAATAATTTATTATTGTAGTTGTATGGATTATTTAAATTTCAGTATTGTAAAACTAAAATTATTTAAATCTCAGTATTGCAAAACTCTTTTAAGTTTAAAAAATCAGTTTATTTATATTTCAGTTCATTTTAGCAATCTGCAGACGTTAAAAAACAAACAGTCTTCTTCTTGCAGACTACAGACTTTTGGTCCACCTTTTCTGCTGCAGATGCCTGCAGATGTGTTCCGCAGACTGCAGACCTTTTACCTATGCAAAAACAAACACCACCTGAATGTTCCCTATTGAGTATTCTGATATTTGATATTGTTGACTCATTTTCAGAGACCGAATTATGTGAATATGCTGCAAATATTGATATTCACATTGCCAGAGAGTAAATCAGGGCTGTTGGCAAAATAGCACTGCAGCAGTATGATGTAAATGCAATTGTTGATAGGCTTCTTCAATTTCTTGAAATGGAGAAAGACTATGTGACTGCTGAAGTCCTGGTAAATAAATATTTATGTTATACTAGATGTTTGGGATATTAAATATAGTGTTGCTTATCCTATCCCCTTCCTACTAAAAGGCCTTTTCAGTGCCAAAAAAGTATGATAGTTCCCTATTGCCAACAGATCTATATTGAGATTGTGTGTTTTAAATAATGCAGGTTCTTGTGAAAGATCCTCTTAGAAAATATCCTGCATTGCGGTTGTTGGAAACATAAGCAGCAAAAATGTGCAGGAACCAAAAGCGAAAGCAGATCTTATATGGATGTTGGGGAATATTCTCAGGATATGCAAGATGCCCCTTATGTTTTGGAGAGTTTAGTTGAAAACTGGGAGGAGGAGAATTCTGCTGAGGTAATTAATCTTCATGTATATTTGTCCTATGATTCCATTTAAAGCCCAATTTTTTTTGAGCCATTTTCTGGAATTGGTCCCTTCTGAAAAAAGAAGAGGTTGTTTAACCATTTAATCAATTGTTCAGCTGTCCCTATTCTCTCATTCCCAATTCCCTGTTACTCCTGTAATTGTTTTTCCAATGTCTTTCTAGTGGATATGAGGTGCAGTAAATGTGCTAATTTGATTTCCTAATGGCTAACAGTATAGTTGCATAGAAAATGTTAATAATTTTATGTGCTTGATCTCATATTTTTTTGTGTTTATGTAACATACATTCAGGCCCCTGCATAACCTCATAGCCCCTCTTCTTTCTTCTCCATCCTACCTGTTTCCGCTTTCATTAAGTTCACGACCAAGGGCAGTGCTGCTATCTTCTTGTTGTAGATTGAGTATTTTTTGAGTTATCCATTAATAGTAGAATGTCGCCTTATTGAAAGATCCGTGTTATGAATTATTTCATTTACTTGGTTGCTTGATTATGCGATTGATCAGGTTCGTTTACATCTTCTCACTGCAGTGATGAATTGTTTTTTCAAAAGACCACCTGAGACCCAAAAGGCACTTGGAGCTGTATTGGCTGCAGGTGTTGCTGATTTCCACCAGGTATGGGTTTTTTTTTTAAATTCGCCCCTCCCCCCCAAACACTTTTATGTCAAAAGTACAGTTTGTTTTCTGGACACAATCGATTAAATCTTCAGTGTGACTGCAGGATGTTCATGACAGCGCCTTGTTCTACTATAGGATGTTACAGTATAATGTATCTGTAGCAGAACGTGTGGTGAACCCACCAAAGCAAGCTATTTATGTTTTTGCTGATACTCAAAGCAGTGAAATTAAGGATCAGAAATTTGATGAATTTAACAGTTTATCTGTTGTATACCAGAAGGTGACTACTAACTTCTTTCAACTTCATGTTATACTACACATTTTCTGTATTTAAAGCTGATCTGAAAGCTCGTGATGGGTTGTTAAAGTATCCAATATGTGTATTTACATACTTTTACACAACCATGACTGATCCATAAAAGAAGCTTTACTTATATATGTAAATAGTTGCACCTTTCTCTGAACTCATCATGTCATTCAATTGGTGCAGGAATACTCGGTAAACCCTCATGGTGTTGCTGCACTGACGGTTCCTCAAGCGCTTATTCGGCACATGCAAAGTCATTTGATCCTCTGCATCGCATCAGGCGGTCAATCCCCGAGCTTCAAGTTTTACTTTTTTGCACAAAAATTGAGGACTCGTCATCAAATTATCTCGTCGAATGCATAATCAACACTTCATCGGCTAATGCTCAGGTTAAGATCAAAGCTGATGATCAAAGAACATCCAAGGAATTCTCAACTCTTTTCCAGTCAGCTTTGTCCAAATTTGGCAATCCCAGAGCAATCCCTCATGGTCTATTTCGTTAGGGAAATAAACAATTATATATTCATTTCATTTTTTATATCAAATAATTCCCTGTATAAGTAAATAAATAAAATTCATCAACTAATCTAATCAAAAGCTAGATAATATTCTAATAGTGCACAGTTTCATCAGAAATTGTCTCGGCTTTTAGGTCTTTGAGATTCGGTGCTGGAGCCAGACGGGTTAATGTTGAGCCCATATTCACTGGTGGATTCACTGTGTCCACTAAATCCGCCATTGTTGATGCACCGTCGAGCATTTTGGATGAACATTTCTGAAGATGTGTTTAACGAGCTGTTCGACAACGTCGTCAACGAAATGTCGTCTTCTAGAGCACGGACAACCTGCAATGTTTTGGGGGACAAAATTAAGAGAAATAATCTTGGTTTGAAACTCCATTTCTAACAACGAAAATCTTATATGTATGTATGTATTAGGTACATACCTGAACGAAAATCTTATATGTATGTATGTATTTAGGTACGTACCTGGATCATTCGAGGTCTAAGCCATGCTGATTGGCGTACACAAGCAGCAGCGCAACTGAACATGGTTGCCATCTCGCTAATGTTGTAAGCGCCGTTTGACCTCGGATCAACGAGAGTATCAAAATCGTTGTTTTCGAGTGCACGAGCTAGCAAAGGCCTTGCCTGTTCAGGCAACACAATGAACTCTAGTTAATCATAAGGATTGCAGTCGATTTGTGCCACAAGACTATGTATGCCCAAAAACAACGTTGTTGACACACTTCCGGCTCGACCAGATTAGGCCGGCCTCGTCAGACTGTATTCGGATATTTCCTCAACCTTGTGTTGTGAAATGCTCTTTGATGTTTAAATCATCAAGGAGAATGTAGGAGAATAAAATGCAAGAGTGCAGGCTCCGAGGAGCGTCCCTAAGCCTTAACTAACAGTTAAATCAAACAAGTGACTTACCCAATCAACCAGGCTATGATTTACCGACGATTCTAGCTCGATGATCGGCCGACGTCCGGTTATAAGCTCTAAAAGCATGACACCGTAGGAATATACATCTGATTTATCAGTTAATTTACCTGTTAATGCATACTCTGGAGCAAGGTATCTTCATTATGCATGCCATTAGAGCAGACGTATAAGAAAATATTCATTTGGTTACACAGTTGTGGGAGAAAAGAAAGAATTTAACCCAAAAGTTCCCATCACTCTGGTAGAGATGGTGTAACAGACGGACTCGCATCGAAGAAAATCTTGGCGAGTCCAAAGTCGGAAACCTGAATGCAAAAACACAGAGTTCATTGACTAGTGGAAACGTTTCAAAACTCCCACTTCAGTGCTTCTAGTCATTTGAGGCCTACCTTTGCTTCAAATCTGGGATCAAGAAGAACATTAGCTGCTTTGATGTCGCGATGAATTATCGTCGGACTACCTGTACAAAGAATCTACTTCAACCACATCTAGAACTAGATTATGAATTCCGAAAGATACCGAAATGATACGAAAATTTCAAAATCCGAAGTGCCTTACAGTCCTCATGGAGATATGCTATTCCTTTTGCAGATCCTATAGCAATTTTGAGTCTCCTTTCCCAGAGTATAACCGACTGACCATTTTCTACAACATATAAACATTGAATCATTGAAGCATTGATCATAGAGAATGAAGAAGAGGAAAATTAGATAAAATACTAACCATGCAAGTGGAATTCCAATGTTTTGTTAGGAACAAACTCATAAACAAACAATCTCTCAGCCCCATTAATGCAGTATCCTACTAAGGAAACAAGGTGTTTATGATGAACTCGGCTGATAGTCTCGACCTCGGCCTGGAATTCACGCTCCCCCTGCCGGCTCCCAGCATTCAATTTCTTAACCGCAACATCTTGTCCGGTCAGCAAGCGCCCTTTGTACACGTAACCGAAATCGCCTTGTCCAAGGAGGTTGGATTTGGAAAAACCATCGGTGGCGATGAGTAGTTCATCATAAGTAAAAATGCCACGTGAGCCATTGGTATCAGCTATATTTGAGCCAGATCCTATAGCAATGGTGAGCAGTGGTGGATCAACTTTTTCTTGTTTATGTTGGATTGAAGCTGCAAAAAATTCATCTAACATCCAACCAAACATTGAAAGAGATATCAGATTGGAGTTAGCAGTTATGATCTGAGACAAAGATGAACTGATTAAACTCACCTTTTGTGACGGAAGATTGTTGCTTTTGATCCAAAGGGTTCTGTTTTCTCCTTCTACGTCTACCTTTGCAACAAATGCACACAAATGCAAGCACAATAAATAGCAGAATTCCAGCGCCAATGCATACAACTATAAGCCCAATCGGAGAATGTGGGGTTTGCTTTGTGGTTGACAAACCACCTTTTACGGCTGGTGGCGTTAATGGTGGTGGTGGTGCAGGAGGCGGAAATGCCTGAAAGAATCCAAGAGTGTTAGACTTAGTAGCACTGATGGAATGTGAAGCTGCTGGGACCGGCGGAGGGGCAGGCTGCGGAATGCCTGAGACGATACTGGGGTTTTAGGGGCCCTTATAGAATGAGAAGCTGCAGGTGGTGGAGGAGATATGGAAGCAAGAAGCGGTGGATCAATAGGTAACCTTGGTGGAGGGAGAGAGGGAGCTCTTGTTGCTGGAGGTGGAAGAATAACAGATGGTGGCGTCGATGGTAAAGGTTTAGATTGTTGAGGAGGTGGAGAAGAAGATTTGGGCAGCAATGGGGGAGGAATAACCAATGCTGGTGGTGGAGGAAGTAGAGGTGTAGCTGGAGAAGCAACAATGGGACTAATCGTAGTAGCGGCAGGCGATATTGGTGGTGGATAAGCAACCACCACTACCACCGGCGGTGTCGGAAGCAGTGGGGGAGTAAGTGTAACTGGACTTGCAGCAACAGCAGCAGGTGGGGGAAAAATCAAGGCCGGCAGAACTGGAGGTGAAATTAGTGGCGGGGTTGATATCGGAGCCAAATGGGGTGCAAGTAAGGGTGGAGGAGAAGCAGAAACTGGAGGTGGCGGAAGTGGCTGCTGCACCACCGGAAGCGGCGGTGAAACGGAGGAGGGAGAATCTAGTGGAGATGGAGACAAAGAGGGAGATAACATCATCGTAATCAAATTTTTTAGTCGTTCTACAACCTCCACATGCAAATCACTGTATAACCCATGTTTTTTCTCTCCCAGTGGATTTCATAGCTGGAAAGTCTTTGAGAATTCTATTTTTTTTACCACTGCCAGAAACCATTAAAACCAACCACTAGAAGACTTGCAGTTCCATGGCAAATTACAACATTATCTATATAGCAGCTAAGGCTTAGGCTAAGAGAAGGAATCATTTATTTATACAAAGGGTAAATTCCAACAATCATTAATAATTTTTACTCTCTCTCTTATTTTACTTACTATACTATAAAACCTTTCAAATTCCTCACTGAATTTAATACAATTAACATTTTTTATTACTTGGCCATTAAATATTTAACGGCGTTAAAACAACGCTATTTTAGAAAAATAAAATTTTTACCAAAACAATGTTGTTTTACATTTTTATAACAACTCATTTATAATATTGTTTAGTGAAAAAACGGCCACCGAGCAACCAAAAATACTAATTATGTTAAATTCAGTGAAAAAATAAACGAATTTAAAATATATGAGTGAAATAAGATATAGATTAAAGTTTAGTGATGGTTGATATAATATACCCATATAAAATTAGTGTCAATCAGTCTCAATCAATCATAATAGATCACATTCATTTACCCTTCACGGACGAGGAATCCCATTTTCATCTCCAAGGAACAATTTATTTAAAAATAATTTTATTATGGGTTATTAGTATCTAAATTATCCATTTTAGTATTGAAATTTCTCTTTTTTAAATTATACTTAAAGTTTGTTTTTTTATATTTCATTTTAGTATCATTCGTTAAAAAAATAGTTTTTGTTTCATTTTAGTATATCGTTCAAAATTTAACGTTAAGTTTTGAACAAATTAAAAGTGTAGGTATTAAAACAGACTAAAACTAATAGTTTAGGTACTAAACGCATTAAATTTTTAACGACATAGAATTAAAATGAAATTAAAACTAAACGTTAGGTATGATTTTGAAAAAAAATTAAAAGTTTAGATACTAAAATAGATCCAAATAGATAGTTTAAGTACTAAATGCATAGTTTATCCTTTAATTATCTCATCTAGTTTGTAGTAAACAATTGTGTTAATTGTATGGGATGTACCCAAACTATGACCCTCATTTTATAATGGTTTCTAAATTTTGAAACATTTTATATTAGTTTCTAAATCATTATCCTCATTCTAAACTTACGCTTACGCTTTAAAACATTCTATATAAATAGTCAAATTATTATTATCATTTCATTTTGATCCTTCTATTAACTTTATGTTCACTTTATTAGTTTTTTAAGATCCTGAGAATTAAACATATGACCTTCTAAAAAAATTATTATGTTTTTAAGGTCCTGAAAATTAAACTCTTGAATTTCTATCAATATGCTTTTAGTTCGAGGTTTAAATATAAAATATTTCAAAGATTTAGGGATTAAGCTAGAATAAGATCATAATTTAAGAATTAATATAAAATATTTTGAGATTTTGGGATTAAATTAAAATTTAGATCATAATTTTATGATATTTGTATAATTGTCTCTAACTATTAGATGAATTTAAATATATAAAGAAAAAAATGCATAACAATTGAATCAAACATTAACACTACATTTATTTACATATATTGTTTATTATATAATGCATTATTATTTTTGGTTGGGCTCCAATTTCAAGTCTTCACCTTGATTAATCTGGATCGACTCGGGTCACACACCTGGTTTTGGTGTGTGAGTATTTCAACGAGAATTTTCTGCATATGTAAGGACTCGAACCTAATACTATATTTAAGCGATATCAAGTTACTTTCTACTTGAACGAACCCGTTGCTTATATAATGCATTATTTTAAACTCGAATGAGAAAATCATTAGTTATATTTATTTTCTTAAAGTTGGATCTTATTGGTCAGCAATTCCCAATTGCAAAATAAGATAAGACATTTTTGTTTTCATTTGATTCTAAAAGTTATTAAAGGTATTGATTCCTTGCTTAATCTCTGCCTCTTCTACTTTATCCTTTTGCCAAACGAAAGGATTAGTTCATAATTTGGGCCTTGAAGTATATCAGTTTTCTAATTTTGGTACAGAACAACAACGTTTAAGTACCAAAATGGATAAATGTGTATGGTTTAAGGGCCAAGTCATGAATAAAACCAAATAACTTCTCAAACAGCTAACAGCGAATACTGAAGTGACATATGGGGTGAAAGAAAGCAAGAGACGTATGGGGGGAAAAAGCTTGTGGAAGCCATTGATTCCTTCAAGGAAAGAGGCAACAAGTAATGAAGTTTCTCAGCTCCTTTCCAATTCATACATACACATACATATATATAGATTTGGAACAGATGTTGGAAGGCAAAGCTGTGATAGAAGACACAGATATGGCATTAGAGATCCAAGCTCGAGCTTTGGCTTCCGCTTCTCGAGCTCTCGATCTGCATGAAGTGTTTGACTAAATTCCCATTGCTGCATATATTAAAAAGGTTAATCTTCTTCTTCTGTTTTCTTTTCCTGGAAAATTTTTCTGGGATTTCAACCTTTGTTTAATATATATATAAGCAGGATTTTGACAAGATGTATGGGGGTGGATGGCAATGCGTGGTGGGCACAGATTTCAGTTGTTTCTTCACCCATTCCAAAGGAACTTTCATCTATTTCTCCATGGAATCTCTCAGTCTTCTCATCTTTAAGGAAACTCAATCTTCTTCTTCTACTTCTTGATATGATCATCGTATGTTGTTGTTTCGTTTCTTTCTTTGGGCTAATTTCATTGTATGTCCCCAGACTAAGTGTTAAATTTAAGATCGGTCCCTCGGTTTCCAAAATGTTTCAGTGGATCATGATCAAGTTTTCGGGGACTGAATGTTAGTTTGGTCGTCCCAACCCACGTTGGCATTTAACACAACCTGACTGGAACAATACTTTAGTTTAAAAGTTTGGTACGAATGTTTTGGAATTTAGGGATCAATTTAAAATTTGACCTAAGTTTTGAGGATGTCTGTGCAATTAATTTTTTATTTGAAAATGTGAATGAATGAAAAACTTTTTTTTAATTAATTTGTGATAAATATAAGACAATATATGTTTAAATCCGTCATTTGACATTGTACACTCACACCACTAGCATTTATGGTGCTTGAACTCGAGACCTCAAGAAATAATAACAATTCATTTACCACCGAGATCGCTTGATTTCACACTTGCTTGATTTGTGCAAAAGACAAAAACTTTGATCAAATAAGAAGGTGGCATCTTTGGATTTTTTTTCTTCCACTGTTGAGTGATGAATCATTTATCAATTAGTACGAAGTTGGTGAGTATTGCCCTTTTGCTCGTGGAATTGGGGAGAATTATAAGGAAACTTCATAGTCCTGCTTGTGGACTAAATTGTAAGGAAATTAATTTGACGAGGAAAACAACATGAAGTATAAAAGTTTCTTACAGAAATAAACAAAGAAATTCTAACCATAAATCCATAAAATTGACCATCGATGAATTTTAATATGTAAAAATATATAAATCTGATGAATTTTAATTCATTGAATTTGATAGGGATACTTTTGTTTAAAAGTTGAGTTTTGGGTGAGGGCATGATAATTTTTTAAAGAAAAATTAATATTAATCAAGCTCGAATTTAAAGATGATCTGATTCGACTTAATTAATAGAATGTATAAGTTTTTTAGATAAAAATATTATTATATCATGACACATTAGATACATATTTCAAGTTTAATATTGGATTGACATATTTGTAATAATATTGTATTTTTTTTTAATATTTTAGACGATTTCAAGATAATATATGTTCAGAAAATTTCTTAATCATTGACTATGCACACATATCTTGTAAATACAACGGCTGGGAAATCAATATTTTTTTAATCACTGAGATCACTCATTAAGTAACTTGATAGTAGCCATCGATAAAATGAATAATCTGATTGTTATAATAGATAATCAGATAGATCAGAGAGACTTGATTGTAGCTAAAAAGTTGACACACAATAGAATGATTTGTTTGTAACAATTGATTAAATAAATAGTTTATTTGTAACCTTTTGAAATTAAATTACTCATTTTTAATTTTACTAATAATTTAGTGACCTATAGTAAAATTTACTCAAATTTTAAATGAAAAATGGCTGTTAAAATTTCAAAAAATAAAAATAAAAATGAAACAAAATGTTGACGGTCTCGATTATGACGCGGACATATCGTGACCGTCAAATCCAAAACATATTTGATCTTACACCGTAGGGTTTGAAAATCTCCATTTGTCCGCCACTTTTATGTTTCGAATATCTCTTTCTCTCTGGTTTCGCTTCGTTTCACTTCGCAGTGCATTTGCAGATCTCAAAAAGATCATTAATTTATCTTTAATATATTCGCTTTGAATCTGCAAATGCTTGCGGTTTTGACTTCATCTCTCCACTGATTCTCCATTTCTCGATCTCCGAAGCTCAGTTCGGTACTGTGTAGTTTCTTCTTCTTCTTGATTAGGAGTTTCCCTTTTTCTATCTTATGAATTTGAGTTTTATTCAACCGATTTTGATGCTCAAGTTAAATAATGGATGATCGAATTGTTCAAAATAATTTTGATTTTGATCATGATCATGATCATGATCTAGGGTTTGAATTCGAGAGAATTTATTATAAATTCCGATATTTGATTTATGTTTTATTAATTTACCCGAATTATGTGTAAAAGTTTCAAAACCATTGATTACTAGTAACTCTGTTGTAATTTTCTTCAATTTTTTTTTTTATATTAGTTTGTTCTGTTGGCCGGTGGCGGGGGAGGAACTTTATTGTTAGATTTGATTTTGAATGATTTCGAGAGCATATTGCTGAGAGAAGTGTTGTAGAGTTGGCATTGGGGTATGCAGCTTTATTCATCCGTAAAGGAACTATGGAAGGTGACACTACCGTATCTACTCCTTCCGCTGGGCTCAGATATAGAGATGGTACTCAGAGAATCCGACCTATTCATGGGTATTTATTATTTTTAGTTCCTCTTACTTAAAAGTTTTGAAACCATTACTGGGGTTCTTGGGCGTGCTTGCCCTCCCACTATAATGTTTTTTTAATGTTATCTTATAAGTTGCAAGAAATTGATTGTTTTATATGCTGCTGAGTTTGCTTCCTTCTATAGGAGGACTACTGGTCCAACAAGAAGATCTACTAAAGGACATTGGACAGCTGAAGAGGTATTGTTATCTTTCAATAGTTATGTTTCCTGGATTTTGTTATAAGTTTACACCTTTTGCACCTTTATTGCCCTTGTTGTGTTATTTATTATAGTATTCATTAATTTTAGTCCTGTTGCTCTTTTCCTTCAATGCAATCAGTGTTGGTGTCCATTTAGATATGCGGGTGTGTTTTTTGTGTCAATCAGTGCATGTATATACATATTCTTAAATGATTTTTCAATTTGACAACATAATTGTATGGACTTCCAGGATGATATTCTGCGCAAAGCTGTTCAATATTTCAAGGGGAAAAATTGGAAAAAGATAGGTATGATTTTGAATGGAAGTGGCATGGCAGCCCTTTGTGCGGCGTTTTGCACAATCTAATTGTATGGTGGTTCATCTGCAGCGGAATGTTTCAAGGATCGGAGTGATGTACAGTGCTTACACAGGTGGCAAAAGGTCCTGAACCCGGAACTTGTTAAAGGGCCATGGACAAAAGAGGTTATTGCTTTTCTACTTATTTATTTCTAGCAGTTCCTTGAAGTGACTGTTGTTGAAAAGCAGAAGTTTTCTTGATACTGTAACAACATTCTAAGTTGCTTTTGCAAAATATGAGCAGGAGGATGAGATGATTATTGAGTTGGTGAATAAATTTGGGCCAAAAAAGTGGTCAACCATTGCTCAGCACTTACCTGGACGTATTGGAAAGCAATGCAGGGAAAGGTGTGTAATGGAGCTTTTAATTATGATATTTTAAATCCACCTGCATTTAAAACTTTTTTGAAGGCCATGAAGAGGGGAATTTTGTACCTTGCAATGTGGCCTTCCTCACGATGGCTAAAAATCACTGGGAAAAGGCAAAAAGTCTGGTCACAATTGTTCACCCTGTTGAATATTTAACAATTTTTTAGAGGTTTTCCTTCTGGGATGTTATTGTGAACAAATTCTCTTGGAATTTATGAAATATTTTTGTTGAAATTTATTGTGGACAATTTTGTTAATGAAATATTTCACCAAAATTAAGGAAAAATTTTCTTGTTTTACATTTGTGCTCAGAAAACTAAGTACTGATGTAGGTGGCACAATCATCTCAATCCTGGCATAAACAAAGAGGCGTGGACTCAGGAAGAGGAGCTGGCTCTTATTCGTGCTCATCAGATTTTTGGGAACAGATGGGCAGAGCTCTCAAAATTCTTGCCAGGAAGGTACTTATTTTAGAGGCCATACGTTTCCATCAATGGATTGTCAGGGTTACTTATATGTCTTTGATTTCTTTACCACTTCCCCTGTAACTGCAGTTTGCAAGTCATCCTCTGATGTTCGTCTGAACCTGATTGCTCTGTAATTAGAAGTTAATATATTTATTTTGCATTTGAATTTACTGATAACTTGTTCTATTCCCATCTTTGTATGAGTAACAGGACAGACAATGCCATAAAAAATCACTGGAACAGTTCAGTCAAAAAGAAGTTGGATTCTTACATAGCATCAGGCCTTCTGGAACAATTTCAGTTCCCACTTAGTGCAAATCAAAGTCAGACCATGCCTTCATCTTCTACGAGGATGCAGAGCAATGCAAATGATGATGGTGCCAAATGTATGAAAGAATCAGAGGACATGTTGGAATGCAGTCAACAGTCGAATATGATTGGTTGCTCTCAATCCACAAGTGATTTATGTAAAGCTGCTGTACATACAGGTGAGCAATTACACTTGACTGAAATGCCTGGAGTGGAAAACGAGAAGCATTGCAGTCCAGCACCTTGTGCAGAAGAGTATTACCCATCTTTTGAAGATGTCAACTTCTCTGTTCCAGAAATAACTTTTGAAGCTGGGTACTCTTCCAGTGGGAATTACCAGTTTGGTGAGCATATGTTGATAACTTATGATAAATGTTGTAGGGTCCTATTCTCAGTGGCAATGAATGATGGATGCATTGCCTCTGAAAATTTTATGCAAGGGTCTAATATGGCTGAATTGGGTGGCTGTGCAAGTACATCACTTTGTCAGCCTTCAGTCATCCAACAATCCGAAACTGGAAATACTCCAGCCTCACAATCTGCTCTTCCTTCAAGGTCTGAGGTATTGGCAACCTCGTGCTGTCAGTCTTCTGCATCTCCTTCACTTCATTCAGTGGAGGATGGTACACTTATGTATAGCCGAGAGCCCAGTCAATTAAATGGTCATGATGTCTTCGTCTTTACTAATGATGATCATACAGATGATACAGACCTACAAGACCAATCTTACCTTGCAAAGGATTCTCGGAAGTTGGTTTCAGTTAATAGTTTTGGTTCAGAATCAAATGCATTGCTAACTTGCCTTGCTGCTGATGATAAGCAAAATTTACCTGCAGAACAAGATGCCGGAGGTCTATGTTACGAGCCTCCTCAATTTCCAGGCTTGGATATCCCATTTTTCAGCTGTGATCTTATACCATCTGGAAATGATGTGCAGCAAGAATATAGTCCCCTTGGTATTCGCCAGCTGATGATATCTTCAATGAACTGCATCTCTCCATTTAGGTTGTGGGATTCACCATCCTGGGACAGCAGTCCAGATGCTGCGCTTAAAAGTGCTGCCAAAACTTTTACTGGCACACCATCCATACTGAAGAAGCGTCATTGCGACCTATTATCACCTTTATCGGAAAGAAGAAAGGAGAAAAAGCTGGAAACTGACTTTACATCCAGTTTGACAAAAGATTTCTCTCGTTTGGATGTCATGTTTGATGAGAATGTCTCTGCCAACACATCTCAGGTGTCTCTATCTGAACATAAAACCAATGCTAGAGGCTCTGATGAAGAAAAAGGAAACCGGCGTCAAAAATTTCAAGGAGAACTTGACAATGGTGAAGATCACACCGAGCCATTCAATGTTGAAGCTCCAAAGAAAGATTCTGATGGAACTAATTTCCAGGAAGCCTATGGTATTGATACCAAGGACAAAACTTATGTTCATGCTTCCGAAAAAATTGTTAGTTTTTCCTCTCTCTCTATGATTTTGATGTTTTCTAGTCCAAGGTGAAGCTGCCAAGATTAAATCCATGTCAAAATTTTATTCAAGTCATGTATGATGCTGATAGCTCTATGTACAACATACCCTGTTTTCTCTTTGGTCTTGTTTTGGAAATCTTGGTCTTAATCATTCTCATTGTTACCGTAGCATTCCTTTTGATTTATCATGCTAGTCTTTTCCCTCTCTACTTTTGACAGGTCCAACAGCCTTCGTCAGTGCTTATCGAGCATAATGTAAATGAGCTACTATTGTTTTCTCCTGATCGTGTTGGTCTTAAAGCTGACAGGCCATTATTGCCTTCAGGCATACGAACTCGACAAAGTCAGAATCATAAAAGCTTTAGAGCTGTTTCATCAAATCAAGGTCTTGCTTCTGAGTGTTTATCAGGAAATGCATGCTTAGTTGTTAGCTCTCCCACTCTGAAAGTAAAGAACAGTGAAGGAGGCCACTCAATTACTGCAACTGCAGTACAATGTACCAATTCATCCGCAACCCTTGAGAATTTGGCCGATAATGCTGGGATTGATGCTGCTACTGAAAATTATAACATGTGAGCTCTGCTGCTCCCCGTTATAATTACAATTGTTATAGGGCCTTCTATTCAGTGTCTTTTATGTCAGGAGCTGCTTTTCTTCTATTTCTACTTCCAATGCTAAGATAAACTGATTGGTTCTTACATGTGTTTTCTTGACATGGATTGCCAGATTCGCTGGAGCTCCATCCAAAAGAAGTATCGAATCACCGTCGGCATGGAAGTCTCCTTGGTTTATTAACTCTTTCATTCCAGGCCCAAGGATTGACACGGAAATAAAAATTGACGTATATGATTATGACCACTTCAGCCTTAGATTCAGACTTTAACCTTCTTTTGTGCTAATAATCATATTTTCTTTCCAGGACATAGGATACGTAATGAGCCCTGCGGAAAGAAGCTACGACGCCATTGGGTTGATGAAACAATTAAGCGAGCATACTGCTGCTGCTTACGCCGGTGCCATGGAGGTTTTGGGAAACGTAACTCCAGAATCAATAGTAAAAGGAAGACGTACCAAGAATCGTCATGTGGACAAAGAGAATAACTGTCTTGAGAGCCATTCAAATTTGGCTCCAAATATCTTGATATTACTGAAAAAAACATGCTTAATGCTCTCTTTTGTTAATAACTGCAGACCGTTGAAATTAGTATGCGATTTGTCCGCAGGCGGAACGCCGACTCCTCGATTTTAGCGAATGTGGAACACCAAGAAAGGAAACTGATAACATGAAGTCCTTGACACCAATAACCGTGAGTTTCTCGAGCCCCTCGTCCTATCTTCTAAAAGGTTGCAGATAGTGCCTTTTGGTTATCATTTTTTGTGTCTAGTTCATGTCACATATGTATGCCATCTTATTTTTCATAATCATTCCATTTGTTGACGGAAAGAGAACTAATCCAAGTAATTAAATTGATAAAAATATTGTACCAAGTGCACATAAATTCTTCAGCTCTCTGAGGTCAGCATTTGTTAAATTTATTCTTTGATTAATATGTGGTAATTATAAGGAAGTATATGTTCAAAGATAACTCTCAATCATTTGACGTTAAACGCACCCTGACATTCCTAGTGCTCGAATCGAGACCTCAATGAATAACAACAATTCATTTACCATCGAGATCATTTTGATTCGTGTTTAACATTTATTATTAGTTTAACCCGATTTGACCATAAAAAAAACCCTCAACAATCTTTGTCTAACCTAGTAAATCAACATGATCCCAAATAATACCTACTAAGACCAATCCTTTTGCGAAATTGCCGGTTTACTTGTTTGAAATATCTATTGACATGATAGAAGTAAGAAATCAAATTCTTGAGACTAAATCCAAATTTAAACATAAAGATCAAAACAAGAACTTTATATATATGAATGTTGAGTGGGCATATCAAACTCCAATCTTACATGAAGTACATTGTGACAATAACAACTTCAAAAGGGGGGAACAGTTGGTGATAATGTAATATCAGAGTTCGAATTAACTCATTTCATTAGACTAAACATTTGTCTATAGTTGAGTTCCCTCTCAATCAATGGCCTAAATCAATTTACATCAAAAATGGGATTTGAACCCACACCCTCTTTCTAAGACCAGAACGTGAGTATGGCGCCTTAGACCACTCGACCATCCTGACAGCCGATAAGTATCAATTGAAAACTTTCTAGAATCACATAACTATGGTCTATGCAACAGGTAAGATGGTAAAAATTCCTTCCTAGTCCCTCTTATCATAGCAAGTATATCATTTTGTCCTTGTAGACTTCATCTGCATAATTGTGACTAAACAAAAAGCTTCCTGTGGGTGCATTTTGATGGTGTTACCAGGTGTTTGAGAAGCTTGGACCAAGTTTATTTGATTTTCTAAAGGGAAATAAATACTCCCCATTTCCTGTGGATCTTGTTCGGGAATTTGGACGTCAACTTTTGGAATCTGTAGCATGTGTGGATTGTTCTTGTCTCAACATTATATCATCTTTTCATTTTCCAACGAATCACCTTGTTCTGTTATTTGGCCTTGTTTAACGTCTCCCTACGCTTTTAAATTATGTGGCCAACATGCGTGATTTACACTGAATCCATACTGACCTGAAGCCAGAAAATGTTCTTTTTGTATCTTCCGAATATGTAAAGCTTCCTGGCTGCAAGGTATTTGGAATTCTATAATTGACAATTTATGCCATTTTAGATTGGGGTTACAATGCCAATGATAATAAAATTACTTGGAATGGTACAGAGGAGTTCTTCGAATGAAGCGCATTTTAGGTGCTTTCCAAAGTAGAGTGCCATTAAGTTGATTGATCGCCTCAAGGTCAAATTTCCTTTATGTATCACAAGCAGAGAAGAGTAGGTTAATATAGTTCGATATCTATGGGAGATGAGGTTTATTTGGGACAAAAATAAAATGTCAGACTTGTTTAATAAATGTGTTATTTAAGTTTGATGAACCATTTATTTATTATCATCCTTTATTTACATCGACAGTTGAGATTTAAGCTGGGCGAGTAACCCTTATTTGCTTGGAGAGGTTCGGGTTGGTCTACTTGAGATATACAAAGTTTGTTCTCGGCTCTACTTGAGTAACCCTTATTTGCTTGGAAAGGAATTCATTATACTCCTACAGCTATGGATAGTTGTTTGTACTGGCGCATTGGTTCACATAGCACTGCTCGTATATTTTTGAATAATTGGGGTGGCACTAATAAAATTTCCCTTATAGGTACACGTGCATAAGACAACAATCGGCAGAATTTGACCCTTTCCCATGAGTTTATGATTCCTGACCGGCCCTATTGTAATGAAGTTCTAGTTCAATAAGGTTTTAGTACGGTTCGACAGTGATCAAATCCTTGTGGTGCCAATTGCTCCATGTTCGTGAGATGTCCTGGTGTGGGGCAATCATGATTCGGGTGTGTGTTCGGTTAGGTCAGGGTATTTGGGTGTGGGTTTGATGAAGAATCAGTCCTTCATGTTGTCCGCTCGTGCCCGAGAGCACAGGAAGTGATCCATTGGGGGTAGTACAATTTGCAGGGTTTGTCACTCTGCGGTGGAATCTATGGAATGCCCGCAGCGCAATCGTTCATGAAAGCATCACACAACCAACTTGGCTTATTGTTACCAACGCGCAAGTCCTCTGTAAATGATGCTCATCGACACGAGTTAACTGTAGGGGGAGTCTCTTCGCTTGAGGAAATGGCTCCAGCTGCCTCAGGTTGTTGGTAGAGGCCTCCTATCAATGGTATGATCAAGATTAACATTGATGGTTTATTTGATTCGACGAAGGGTCTTGCTGTCATGGGAGCATTGGCTCGAGACCACATGGGTAATTTGCCAGGGGGCTTGCTCATACCACGATGCTAGTTCAGGGACCCCTATAGAGAAAATCTTTGCGTTCGGGGCTGTTTCGAACATGACGGTTGAGCGAGAATGGACTAATGTCCATTTTGAATCAGATTGTGCTGTTTTAGTGAATAAAATTCACGTATTAAATTTTTCCTAAATTTCATACACTTAAAAATTTTAATATATATATAAATAATTCCCCTAAGACAAACGCAAAGTGGTCAGCGGCAATAGCAAAGAGCAGACCCGACCACTTTCTTCAGTTCTTCCCCCAAAGTCTCCCAGTTCCCAAATCCCCAAAATTGCCTTTAACACTCCCCTACCCTTTTAAATTCTCGAATTGCCAAGTAAACCTCAGTGTCTCATCTAACCTAACGCTCACAGGCGCAACCCTCACTGCCTTTGAGCTTCAAACCACGCGGCGGCGCCAGCCATGACCGGGTCCGTACCTTTACACTCTGGTTTTTCTCAATTCGAAACTCACCTGTTCCTCCAAACATTCTACCCGTGCATTTGGGGTTTACAGTGAAGAAAATGCCTCAATAGCCGTCCCAGAGGCCGAGGAGACCGCCGCATGAGGCAAAATTTGCGTTTTGCAGTGAAGAAAGAAGAGAAAAACGGAGACATGCATAGTGACTTGTTGAATCTGAAAGCGGGTTCAAAGGAAATTTTTAGAAAAATTCAACGTTGAAACAGGAGATTTAAAGGGGTCGGCCTTTTTGTCAATTATTTTTGGGGACTGATTGTTGTTTATACATGTGCTGAATATTAGATTTTTTTAATTAAAAATGTTATATTATGTGAATTGAACGGTAAACGTTCCGCTGTAGCTTTATTTATTTATTTTTAACATTGGTGATGTTAACTAGTTTACACATACATGGAGAGTACCGTTGTGGTCGTGGAAACTCAGAGTTGCAGTTCTAATCTTGTCCCCAAGTCTGGAGAATCACCGATAAATATTGACTCAATATCTATAGATCTCATCAATGCTAATGATGACATTGGTGCTAGGAAGTGTGAGCATTTTTCCATTCGGTAAGCCATTATTCAGTGCACAGTTTCTCGGTGAGGTTTTTGCTCGATTTTATATAGATATAGATATAGTTTTGTTCAACAATGGTCCAGGACTTGCTATTTGTAATACATTAATATTTGTGTTGGAATTTTGTTAATTTCCTTTTGTTTGAAATGCAGTGGATATGCTTCTGAGATGCGCCACAAAAACTGGACGAAATGCTGGCCATTTGCATTAGATGGTGTCCAGAGTATATCTGAAGAACAAGACTGTAAGCTTCCTCCTTTACTAGTTCCGAAGTTCAGATGGTGGTGCTGCCAAAGCTGTCTGCACGAAATTGGGTCGGACGGCAATGTAAATGAAGAGAGAACTTTTGCTAATAATGGTAGCAAATTGAAAACCTTTGGCTCCTGTCCTCACCTGTCATCATCCAATGGTGGTGCTACAATTCAGTTATCAGATTTGCAGCAGTCTGTAAAGATTAATGTTGTATCAGGAAAATCTGATGTTAGTGCTCGTGTTAATGTCAATAGCAGTGATAAAAGTGAGAAAGCAGCTAAAGTTGCTAATATACCAATCATAGGTATATTTCTATCCTTGCTCAATTTGCTCTCATGTTTACTTTTACATTAGAGCATTAATTATGTTTGGTGAATTTTACAGGGCAAACAGATCTCTTAGAAAATAACATTAGCAAAGAAACCCATATTTCAAAATTTGCTGGAATAGATGTTATTTCTAGCCTTATGAAGCGGACATTTCATATAGGCAATAAAGGTATGTCTACTACGAACATATACTAATTAAAATGCTAATCTGTTTCATGCTTTGCAACTGAAAGTAGAACTGCAGTGGCTGCAATAACTGTGCTTCTTATTCTTGCAACAGTGGCTCCTCTGCAACTTGATAAACCTAGTATAAAGGATAATGAAATTGCTGGCTATACTATTCCCGAGTCAAACCCGAGTTGCACTGTCAATGATGCCACTGAAACACATCAAGCAGAAAATCACGCTTCTACTTTTGTTCAGCAGATGGAGTTCGTGAAAACTCGTGGTCCCTTTGGAGTAGTCAATATGGTTAATGGGGTTAGTACAGCTGAATATCCTTCATTGGAATTAGATGATTGTGATTATGCATCATCTGAAAGTGCTGAGATATTGCTTGGAAGTTCATCTGGAAGAAGAAAGACCCGCAAGGTGCGTCTGCTGACTGAATTGTTGGGTAAAAAGGAAGATGAAAAAAATGATCTCTCAAGTTCAGAAGATTCACCTTCCACTGCCATTCCTGATGCATCTATGGCAATAGATTCAGTGTCTGCTCCCCATGATCAAGTCAGTTTCCAAGGAAATGTTGCAAGCAATTTGTCTCTTAGTAGGAAAAGAAAGTTGCCACAAGATGAAACACGGAGGCTTGGGGAAATGAGTTCTCCAAATAGTGGGAATAAAAATCTTTGGACATTCAACAGAGGTGCAGAAACTACTGATGAAATTCCAATTCCTGATTCAGATTGTACAGTTAATGGAAGTGTCTCACAAACTGGTGCAAAGAGTCATTTGGTTAGCCTTAAGGTGTATAAAAGTCCTACTGCAGGAAAGATGAAAAACAAAAAGACCCAAAATTTTGATGAATGTTTGTCTGTTGTTCTGTCTCGAGAAAAACTGCAGAAGCAGAAACAGAAAAAGGCTGGAGATACCACTAAGAGCAATGCCATTGATATTGTTCAGTACAAGTCGAATGATGCATCTAAAGACAGTGAGTTGGATCCCTTTTCTGAGTCTGCCAAAAAGGCAGAGAAAAATTCTAATTTATTGAAGAAAAGGAGTAAGATGCATCAAGATCTTGATGGGCCTGCTTTTCCTATTCCTTGGAACAATGGCTTGCTCAGAGAATGTCCGACTTCAAGGAAAGATGTAGAAATACAACAAACTGGGTCTGTTTCTGTAGCCCAGGATGCATCAGCTGAAAGAAGAATGCAATTTTCACTTAATAATTTCTTGCCTGCCAAAACATATGATGGAAAATATATTTCTCCAATCAGAGATGGGTTGCCACCTCTATTGCCTTGGCAAGGGCATGTTCACACTGAATATGAGATTGGGAGGAAAGATCTAAAGATGAATTCTGTTGGGAACTCTGGTTTTCCTTTTAAATCTGAACTGGAAGCATATCTTTGGAAGAGAATGCATGTTGACCTCAACAGTAACCAAACTACACAGAGAATACCATTCCTGAACGAGAAGCAAGAACACTACTCTTGTGCTGATGTTGGGAGCTGTTCTTTGGTTCAGCAAATGGTATGAGCTTTTCTTTTGTTACCCTTGTTACCAATTAACATATAAAAATGAAGAAGTTATTTATGGCATGACAATTTTGGTACCCCCAACCTCAAAATTTTGATTTTGGTCCTCTGCAACTAGAATAGTTTTGCATCTGTTTTGCTATTCATAAAATATTCAAGTTATGATAACATTCAGTTTAAATTTTTGGAGCTTTCACATTAAGTTATTTACACATTTGAGCCTTTGACTTAGAAACATTCCCTTCTCTATGACCTTGAATTCGAAGATAAGTTATTAATCAAACAACGTTAAGACATTTTTGCCTGGATTATGGGATTCTGCAGGAGGAGATATAAGAATCTCTTTAAAAGTCGACTCCTTATTTTTTGAGAAAACAGGTCCTCAAAAATGAGAATCTACTATACTTTCATACTTGTCCTCATGGAAAAGTGACATTATTATCTTATGCTTATTCCAACCACAAGCTTTCATTTTGGTTATACCATGGAACTACTACTGCTTTTATCCGTAGTCCATTTACCATTTTGGTTCGGTTATAAGCTCATACAATCTTATATATTATCTGCAATTGATTGCATATAGCTAACGATTAGGGTAGGTGTTAATGTTACCCTATGTTTACCTGTAATCATTTTACCCCTTTTAAACAGGATTTCAGGGGTAAAAGCAATAACGGGAAATCTGTGGAGCTTCAGGACTACTCAGCAATAGCCAGTAAGAATTATGATCAACGAGCTGAAAGGGCATCTGGGCAAGGAGCTTCAGATGACATACCCATGGAGATTGTTGAACTCATGGCCAAGAATCAGTATGAGAGGTGTCTTCCAGATAGAGAAATTGATAAACAACCATTGGAAACAACCAATAACACCAGAAGTCATCAGATCAGGGTGGATCTTAATAAAGTATATGGAAATGAAGAGATGAGCCTGCTTCATGAGACCACTCAAAAACCAAAACCCCGGGCTAAAAACAGAAAAATTGGCAAAATTGAAAGAGATGATATGCACAAATCAGTTGATATTTTCTCTCATCTGGACTGGAATCAGTACAATATGAGCCAATTGGAACAAAGTTTTTCCACCGCCAGCTTTAAGTCTTCTCTATGTAGAGAGAAGCCATTGAATGGATTCCAAATTTCTGCTGCCAATTCCAGCCGGCAAAACAGTGCACAAAATTGGCAGTGTATTGGGAACATGGTTGGGCAGAGGTCCCCTCAGGCCAGTGTGCAGGCATTGGAAGTTTGTAATTCATGTCATAGTGCTCCACAACAGAATAAAGAAGCAGCTAATTTATGGCCGTCAACTGTACCAAATAACATGCCCTATCTATTTGGGATTCCTCAGAGGTGTAGAGATCAGGTGGCCAATGTCGATGTGCTTTCACATTGCCATAGAAATCTGCAAAAGGGAAATGCGAGTGGAAATGATGATCGGAATTTCTTAAATCAGGCTTCAAGTTTTGAAAAGCATGCTAGGAAGTTTGATTCGGAAGTCCTTAGGACACATGCAGATTACCCATTTGCTTGCAAACATAACGGGATGGGGTCAATTGATCTGTATTCTAATGAAACCATCCCTGCCATGCATTTACTCAGCCTGATGGATGCAGGGTTACAGTCAGGTGCACCAGTTGATGTGGATGGAAACCAAGGATATGTCAAGAAAACTTCCTCTCATGGTCATCATCACTCAAAAGTGTTTTCGAGCCTGCCTTCTAGGGGAGATAGGACCAATTCAATGAAACATGCAACCTATGATTGTTATGGTAAAAGCCATCTACCCGAGAGTTTATGCGAATGTACGTTTGCCACACCTGCAGCCAGTCCTACATCATTTCTGCATGATAAAAGTTTCAAGAAGGCAAGTTATTTTACGGCTCAATTATCACTGAAGTCTAGAGAGAAAGAGAAGAAGTTCTCAGATTCACAAAGGCAGAATAAAAATTGCAGATCACAAAAAACTGCATCTTCAAATAGTGGCATAAATACTTGTGGAACGTGTACTTTCCATAGTATGCCAAAAATGGTGCTTGGCACATCTGATTTTATGATGTTCCGGACGCAGCTTCAAGCATTAGTGAGTGCAAACAAACAGAACCAGGATGCTCGAACTATGAGTGGTACTCTTTTCCATCCAAAAAGTGGTTCGGAGAATGAAATGTGCTCTATTAATAGAAACCCTGCTGATTTTTCCGCGCCTGAAGCAGGAAATATCTACATGATTGGAGGCGAGGACCTGAAATTTGGAAGGGGAACTCCCTCATCTGGGATGGTAAAATTAACCGGGGACAAGCGTCAGAAGAAGCTTACTGTTAGAAAAGAGCGGTCACGTTCATGAGACAGTGGTGATTGCATATGTCGATAGCACCACCGAACCACATTCGTCTTGGTATTCGGTTAAAATGCATTAATTCCGTCCACTGGGAAACTTGGGAAACTTGCATTCTTTCGATCAGCATTCAACTCGTGTAATTTTCGGCAGGCAAAATCAAGCACTTTGATGCCTTGGTTAAGAAAAGCTTAAATGCTTTATGAAGCTTCGAGACATAAAACCGGTAATATTTCGCAACACAAAGTTGCTATATTTTATTGCTCTACATAGATCATTCTACTTGCATTGGCACATTTCCCATTTCCGAGCTTTGAGAACATGAAAAGAATATGGTAGGTGCATGGTAAGGCCTGTAAAAATATTTGCATATTCCCCCTCCCTCCCTCCCACCTACCAACTGAATCTTTTCGATGTTGTAATGCTTGTGTTCTTCTGGACAGAGGTTTGTAAAACCTAAATACTGCCGCTTTTAGTTCTCAATCAAAAGGGCTTGGAGAACACTTGAATAACTCTATATTCCATTCTCTAGCAGCTAGTGGGATTCGAAACAGAGGACGGACAATATAATGTGTTTTGAAGCATGAGTTTGAATCATGGCTGTTTATGCCGTAGCGATATCGTATCTGTATCGGCCGGTACAAATTAAGATGGTTGTTATTGTCACGAGTTAGTTTTGGAACAACTATATAGTTTCATAATGATATTGTATTTTTTGTGTTGATTTCTGTATTAATATATTTGGTCGTATTGATGTTAAATTTTATAAAATATTTATTAATATAAACAGATCTTGCTCATTCACAAAAAATAAAATGCATTATATTTATGGAAGTGTATTATATATATATATATATAAGATAATTATTTCATAGTAGTAGGAAAAAAATATTTTAAAGACGTGATAATTATTTAATCTTGTTTGTGAAATTAGAACATATAACGATCAATGCATGTGATAATAATATTTTAGCCATAAGAAACTAAATTGTTAAAACATAGCAATGGAAAATAGAAATTGAGGGAATGCTACAAAATTTAGAAGAATTACAACTCAAGAAGGAAACCCTTCTAATAATCTTAATTCAAATCCTTAAGGATCTGTGTCATCTAAGGAAATGTGTTAATACACAGATGTAAATGTAACGAGTAGTAGAACCATACTTTTACCTCCACTTGTCTTGTAGTTCTTTCCTCTCCGACAACCTCCACGTTACGAAGATGGCTGCTACGAGCGCCACGATTGTAATGAGGAGCAAGGCATAACTAAAATCTTCCGTGAGAGAATCGTATGTCCTTGAAGGTGCGAGCTGAGTGAAAAAGAGGTCCACTCCGTGTGCGAAGACGAGGGTTGTCGATTCCAGCTTGGCTGGAACCGTTATTATACCTCGAAGACCTTCCACTCTAAGAGCGTGTGTAACATAGGACTGGAAACAATTCATCGATAGCCATCGGTTACAGAAACAGCGGGATTAAATTCATAGAATGCTCATGGTTGGCAAGTTTCAGCATCTGCTAATGCCCTTAAGTGCATGCTTACATGCATACTAATCAAGCATCTCAAAGCAGTATCTCTAAAGAAGAGGTGTGTACGTGTATATACACATAATGTATTAAATAAAGAAGAGATAAAGATGGTCTGGGAGGAAACAAACCTGAGGAATGATCGGCAACGAATCAGTTAGCGGTATAATGCCTTCTTCTTTCTCTGCTTGTGTAGGATTAACTGATCGACGAGGATCCAAGAAACGCTTATCAAGAGCCAAAACCTGTAAAATAGGGTTACGATCACATCGCAGTCAGAAGTATCAACTCTAGTACCATTCGTTTAAAGGAAACATGAACAACTCATAATCCAGCATAGCAGACAACTCCTGACTTAATTCTTTCTGAAAGTTTATAATTTACCTGATCACCAATTGTACCGATGAGAAGCTGCTTGGAAGTTATACCCTTCGCTGTTGATGTCACAGCTATAGCTTTCACCGAATGGGTGAAAAAGTAGGACTGCGATTTTGTTATGACCTCTGGTCGAGAAAACAAAGATATCCGTGAAGTAAGGTTGTGCTTTCCAAGAACAAGCTTCCAAACATCTTTGTTGTCCTGTGGATGGCATTTTAGTTGGGGAAAGATAAATTTCATTGAAGTGGTAACATAATCAACCAAACATAAACAATTCAAGTCCGTCCACTTACAGCCCGAGACTGGTCATAAATTTCAATGACTGACATCTCATATCTATGCGCTCTAAGATTGAAGAAGTGGTAGACAACCCAGTTCTCACTAAACACCTACAATAAATAATAAGCATCATCAATTGCATCCTTCTCATACCATCTTACGACACCAATACGGGAGAATAAGTAACTTACAGCATGAACAGGGCCCTGTGCACCATGATGAGTCACTCGGTACAATATACGACCAGTTACAATGTCAATAAGATATGCAACCAGCCATGATTCTTCTGGTGTAACAGATCCAATTTCACCACTTCCTTTGGGTGCAACAGTTGCCACAAAAAGTAGATTTCTTGATATATATTTATACATGACATCCTGGTCAGCCATAACCTTTGCTTGAGTATGTACCATCTGGAAAACTCAAATATACAAGCATGCATTATGTTTTATACATGCAGCATTCCCAACAAGGCACCAGTAGTTAAAAATTCAAAAGACAGAAGAAAATGCACATTTTGAAACAAGTCAGTTAACCACGTTTACCTATCTTCGAAAAAATGAAACAAACCAATTGCATTAAAGACCAAAATCATATACTATTTATTTAAGGAAGCCTATAGGAAAATGAGAGTGAAGTGACAAGTTTCATGCAATTGTCAAAAGTCTTCAGCTGAGAAGTGCATGACCAAAAAATAACTCAATCAAGGGAGCAGTCAATTAATGCAATAATGCTACACGATGCAATTGAGTCTGGAAAACTCCTAAGATCACCATACAGATTGACAAATAAACAGAAGTCATTGAGAAAACACCATGGGGGAGGGAGAAATGCTTTACCTCATTCAATTTTCTAGTGACAGTTGCAGTTATCTTTTCTGATTCTGAGGGGAACACAACCGACCACAAGTCCCTTGCGTCGAAGCAGAACTCATCAGCTACTTCACCAGTGCACTTGCACTTTAAAGCATGCCCCTTGATGATGCTATTATGATCCTCCACTGAATACCAGTATATGTTTGAAAATTCACGTTTGAAGATACCGAGAGCCTCAGAAGTTTTGGGATATAAATGTGCATGTTTATCAGAATCGATCAGCAGATGGAGTCGCTGTTCTGTTGAATCTGTATGTGGAAGGGGAATAACTTGCACAACAGCGTGATCGAGACTTAAAGAATTAAGCTCCTTTCCGGTGTAAGTGTCGACAAAAGAAAGTACACCTGGTGCATCTGAACTTGGACCACACCTGCTAATCACAAGAACAGATGGATTTTCATCCAGAGCATGATGATGAGGAACCTGCCACTGATACAAGTTTAATCCTACTGGAGATTGACATGCCTCTGACTTGTGTAGCAAGTGAGACCAGACAATGTGTCCATCTCCAGTATGCAGAGCAAAAAGTTTCCCTGCCCTCGTTAGTACTATGAGCAGCTTCCTGAATCCATTGTGGTCTCGGGCCATTTTGCTCTTTTCAGAACTTTTTAGTCTCATACTTTGTATGGCTGCCACATCCTCAGGGCTTGCAAGCATTAGTGTTCCCTTCAGCTTCAGCATATGTCCCTTGAGAAAAGGAGTGCATCTTGTCAAAATCATGTTGTGAGCTTTGACGGTAGGTGATTCATGTTTGTAAAACTAAATATACACACACACAATGGCACAAACACGCACAAATATCCATATTCTTTCTAATTTTAGAACCACATGAAAGACTTCATATGTAAGATAATTGAACATGTATCAGAAACAAAACCAATAACTAAATATCTATTAATCTCTTAAAAGCAAGAAAAAGAGTTAGATCATGCAGTCTACAGTTGCCTTTAGTTGAAATGCAAACAAAAAATACCTTAAAAAATTCATAACCATACCTTAAGCCATTCAAAGAGGTTGTGCTCCACTTTTGCGACAGATACACCATCCCTTTCCACAGGTAGTTCTGAAGCTGTTACATCAATTATTGATGCGAGACCATCTTCTCTGCTCCAGACAATCGCACCTTGTTGTAATAACAACAGTGAATGATCTTCCATCACAATTAACAGCCGAAATCCATGAGACCTATCAGTTCGGATGTAATTATTTATGAAAACCTTGTGGGGAATCCCTCTTTGTTGGTCCATTTTAATGCTTTCTTTAAGCAAATTAGCATCCCAATCATGTGCAAGTTTCGCTACAAGATGAATCTCACTGCCTGCATGTTGAACCAATGCAAATGCTTGTTGGCTCTCAGAGATTGGGAGAGCATTACTAACAGCTGTTTCTTGATTCAATTTTTCCACCACTTCCAACTTGCCTTTACCTATCACTCTAATAAATATAGTAACTGAATTTATTTTAATTGCAAATATTCCTGGGACTGATGAAGGTATTATTACCGCCGGTCCTGATGAGTCCTCAACAATATTTGAAATGGGTGTCTGTTGAAAACTAATTTCTCCATTTTGAAAACTTATTGTAAGCAAAATTGACCCTGTGGAATCAAGAGCCACAACTGTCTCGCTAGAAACTAGTGAAAGTTCTCTCAAAAACCCACTAGAAAAAATTGCACTTTCATGCTTCAACAACTCTCCATTCCTAGCATTGATTTGATACATCTCAAACTGGGATGAAGCAGCAAATCCTACAACATATATTAAATCACTGCCAGGAGGCTGAATTACCTGCTGAGTCTCAAAGCTGCAAGGAGCATGGAAATGCAATTCATCAATAATACCATTTTTTCAAAGGGCGGCAGGTATAGAGGAAACTTGTTGAAATGTAAAACTTTCGAATTGGACAAACCTTTCTGTTTCAAAATCCTTCTTCCAAAGAACCTCGCCATCTATGCAAGAAACAGCATGGAGACGGTCATTGCTAAAAACAACAATTACGTTATCCTTCTCAATTTTCAGGTTTGTCTGCACAACATTAATACAGTCAATCTCATGTTTCTACAATCAAAGAATGAATTGTATACTCTATATCAATAACACTAAAAATGCTGGTAAAAGAAGGCAGGAGAAGTTCTACCGGGAGATAAAAAGTTACAATAACAAATGTTTAACAAAGCACACTTCTGTACATTAACTAGCCTCCTATTGGATGTGCTATAGACAATTAAGAGTCTTTAAGATGAAAATTTAGAAGAAAAAAAATCTTAATTGTACAACCGGGCTTCTAATATAGAAATGCTTGGTATAAATTTCGGTGACCATGATCCATAGAAAACAGATGGTCGAACAATTGAAATAAAAAAGATGTTAACTGGAAATAATCTGGCTTACCGGCAGTAATAGTAAAGATTTTGAGTGCTTAGGACCCTGAAGAAAAGACTCCCACACCATCTGCCCATCAGGAAGGTTCCAAGATCTTAAAATACTTCCTCCCGATGAAAGGGTAATGACGTCTGCAAGAAAAAAAATTATTCAAAACTTAGTCACCAATACAAGCAATGAAGTCGGTCAAACCTTTCCTTGCAGAATCCCGAAGAAGGATAGACCAACAGTTTGATTAAAACTGTAACTACGTAAGCCATGAAAGATTCTTCTTTGAACCAAATATGGATATGGACATACTTACATTTTCCAAGACCGATGTCAATTCCATCGATAACATCATTAGAACCAAGCAAATGTCTCCAAACTACATAAAACAGCCAAACATTATCCTAACAACAACTTTAGCAATAACCGGAAAAAATAAAAGCTAAATAAACAAACTTCAATTTTTGTAATCGAATAGGATTGAACTTACAGATCTCGCCATGACGGAGATCAAGGGAAGCTATAACATTCTCTTCAGTGGACACTATAACTCGTCTTCGACCAGTTTTTTGAGTGGAGAACACTGCTTGCTTCACTTTTCCTATGTATTGTTGATGCCTAAGATTTAAACAATAATTATATAAAAAAAATCATATACATATATAAGAAAGTACAGCTAAAATCGAATTCAGCAAAGTAAAGTATTGTTGACGCCTAAGATTAAACAATTAATAGGAGAAAAAATTATATATATTCATACAAAGAATTAAAGAAAAATTTCAATCGAATTCTACTTAGTAAAGTATTGCCGATACTTATGACTATACAACTAGTCAGAAAAAAAATTATATATAACAGAAAAGAACTAAAGGTTAAATTTGAATCGGATTCAGCGAAGTGAAGTATTGTCGATGCCAAATATTAAACAATTAATTAGAAGAAAAAATCATATACATATATAAAGAATTAAAGCTAAATTTGAATCGAATTCAACTAAGTAAAGTATTGTTGATGCCAAAGATTAAACAATTAGTTAGAACAAAAATTGTACAAAAAAGAAAATCATAAAATATAAATTTTGAATCCAATTCAACGAAGTGGAGTATGAAGTTGAACTTACCAGTCCATGAGGCCGACTTGATCTTCGTAAAGGGAAAGGACCGGACTTAGAGAAGAGTAGAACCATAGAACGAGGAGCAAAAAAGGAACAAAAAAAGACCTAATCGCCATTGTTTATGGCTACGAGGATTGAAGAAAAGGTTGTATCAGTTTCCCTATAAGTATCGGAGGGAGAGAGACAGATCTAAGAAAGTCGTCAAGGGGAGGAGTTTGCGAGGACTATATTGCTATACTTCTTCAGCTTTACACATTTTACTTGCACATAGCCAGCTTTTAGGATTAATATCTTATTTGGTACCTAAAATATGTTACATATTTCTAATGTGATCCTATTTTTTTTTTGACCTCCCGCTTCGAAGGTTTAATTTTGACTAATCCAGATCGTACACAAATACTCAAAATTGATATTTTGCTTAACCGATATATTAAACTACTTATCACTTGAACCAACTTTTATTTTATTAATGTGATGTTATTTTAATTTATTGTTATAATAATTAATCTTATTATTATAGAAATTAATTTAAACATCAAGATTATTTATAATTTCATCGAAATCAAACTCATCCTTCATTTAAATGGACCTACTTATTAATTAAAAAAGACGAAAGTGTTCTCACAGAAAACTATGACGGGAACTGATACATTGTTCTTATTTTGTTCATGGTCTAGCTTCAGTTCATGGTCCGCCCATGTATGCATTCTCCTAGGTGTGATTGTTTTTACTTGAAATTTGAAAAAAAATATTAATTATTTTTTTACTGATAATATTTATTTGAAAATTTAATTTATAAAAAAATATTATTAATATATATATCCACTTTATAAAACATTTCTCAATCCATTACTAATACCCAATAACTTGAGAAGACATGAACGAACGAGGGCCTTTTGTTTTGTAATAAACTTGATTTAAACTCTAATTTGCTGTTTCAGATTTTGTCTTCTCTTCTTATTTGTCACTATCTCTGGGTTTTCAAATAATGAGGTTTTGACCCGAATCAATTTATTTTAGTGATTAAAAGAATCGTTATTGTTTTTAGAAGTCACGTGATCGACACCAACGTCTGCAACATATAGGGTGTTCAAATCTAGGTACATATTTTCGGGTACCAGGATACGTTAAAACCGGGTACCCGCATTTTCAGATCATGGGTATTAGGTTCATATTTTTTTAATTAAAGTTTTAAATCACATAAGAAATACATAAAATTTAAAAGTTTATAATACAATCCATGTACAATAATTAGTGATTTGAAATCAATTTTAAGGATAAATATTTAGATATATGTATATATATTAAAGTTTATTTCTAAAAAAGTATTAAAAATATTAATATCAATTGTGATTTTTTCCCTTTGATTCTTGTATTGACAAATTATTTAAATTAAAAATAAAACTTAAATGTAATAATATAAACCTATTTTTTAGAGATTTTAATTGATTTTAAAGTAAAAATATTAAGAATATAAAATAAAAATATAATTAAACTAATATATATTATAATTTTAAACTAACATATATATATATATAGTACCCGATGATTATAAAATTTCGGCCTAGACCCAGCCCAACTACCGGGAAAATCACGGGTCGGGTACCCAACCGTTTAGGTAATTTTTTTAAAAATTATCCAATTTTTAAGTTAAGATCGGTCAACGAGCCGAGTATTTTTTAACATCCTAGTAACAGGATGATGAACATTCATTAGCAAATGATTAATAGAATTTATAATATATATTATTTATAATTATCTTAGTTTAATAAAATAAAAAAATAACGAGGTTTTCAAAAAGGAGCATAGTGGGACTTATTTTCAACCAACAAGACCCTAAAGATAGATGGACGAATGAGCTTTGGATTAGGGGGTGTAAAAAAATCGATTCGAACAATTTTATCCGATTATCCGGTGATCCGATCCGTATTTTCGAATATTCAATCCAATTTTTTATTTCGGATAATCAGATCGGATATGAATTGAAAATTTCTTAATTTCGGATTATCCGAATATCGAAAAAATAGATGGACCTTTAGCCCTAACCCAATAGCCCAATCTTTATGGGTTCAACACTGATATAAATATTGGATAGACCATTTAAACTGAACCTCATGTTTATTTTATTGGGTACGTCCTTCACCTTTCCTTTTTTTTAGGTATATATTTTTTACTTCTTAAATATCAATTTAAATCTAATCTAATCTATATTTTATATTTAATTTAAACAATTTATATTTAAGCGTTAAAAATATTAATAAAATTAAATATGTATATTTATTTTGTTTTAATTAACATGTTTTTTTATTTTAATTAACATTCAACGAATCACATTATATTAAAATTTCATTTTTAATATAATTTACATATTGTGAAATTTGATAGGCATTTTTTAACAAAAAAGGGAAATAAAACTAATAATGTAAAGTAAAATGCAGCTTCACAGTGAGCTTCAATCTCCAGCCGGTTTTATTTGATCGATTTTATTTAATATTTATTATATTTTCAAATAATTGAATACAAGATTTTAAGAAGATTAATTAAAAGTTTTATTTAATACTTACCGTAATTGATATATTTTATATTATATAATAAGCTTTATTAATGAAATATTAATTAAAAATATTAATATATTCGGATAAGATATAGGGATATCCGATTATTTCATATCGGATTCAGATCATGATTTTAGCTATCCGAAATTTCGGATATCCGAATTTTCGGAGCGGATATCCGAATTTGCACACCCCTACTTTGGATCCAATTAGCTATTTTCCAAAATAAACAACCAAGCTTTTTGAGTTTTAGATTTGAATAAGTAAAATTTCAAAATTTGACCATTTTATTATACTCAAATGTAAGATTTAGTCCCTAAATTTTAATTTGATGTAATTTAATCCAACTACTTTTATAATATCATGAAGATGAATTTAGATAACACCATTAATTATGATCAGAATGCTGACGTACTCGTCAAGCTAACATGAACCGTTTGATAATGGAAGCCATGTTTTCTCTCTAAAAGAATTCACATCATAAAAGTATATGATCGGATTATATTACAAGTACTAAATCTCAAACTTGAGAGTAAAAGAGTGACCAAAATCATAATTTGATCATTAGAATATAAAACTAAGCTACCTCGTTATATATTTTAGTAATAATTGAGAGAGGACTATATGGTGGAGTGATCATGATGACCAAAATGACAAAATAGAGGTCAGCTTCTGCAGTGATTGGCCCTAATTTTTATAGGAAAATAACATGCCACTGCAGAGCAGATTTGCAGGTGGAACATGTCAAACTAAAGTTGTTGGGTAAATTACACGTTTAGTATCTAAACTATCAATTTTAGTATATTCTAGTATTTAACTTTCAATTTTTTTAAAATCATGCCTAAAGTTTAGTTTTTATTTTATTTTGGTATCGTTCAAAATTCAATGCTAAGTTTTGAAAAAAAATTAAAAGTTTAGGTACTAAAACGGATCAAAACTGATAGTTTAGGCACTAAACGCGTTTAGCTTTTAATAGCGGGTACTAAAATGAAACAAAAACTAAACGTTATGTATGATTCTAAAAGAATTAAAAGCTTATGTACTAAAACGAATTAAAATTAATAGTTTAAATATTAAATGCGTAGTTTACCCAAGTTGTTTTAGATTACTAGTTATTATTTCAATCGTACATATTAGATAACCGAGACTTTCATAAATTGTTTTTGTAGGTAATTAAATAAATTGTAGTGATTATGACAATACGTGGGGCTTAATTAGTACTATATGGTTATATAATTAGTGAGTATTAGTTCAAGTGGTAAGCAGTTTAATATCATTTAAGTAAGGTCTCGAGTCCAAGTCCTTGTGTATGCAGAAAATCCCTGGGAGAATCACCCATCAAGATCAGATGTGCGACTTGGGTCGATCTAAATTAGTCAACGCAAAACTTTGGAAACGCGGGGGACAATTTTTTTTTTACTTTTAAAATTTATAGATGTCTCTTTTTCCCATATGTAATGGGATAAGGGAAGGTAAGATAGTAGGTTGCCCCAACACTAGGTTAAGAGCAGCTTCCGTAGGAGACCTCTGAACTATGAAATGTCATCCATGAGACTCGATCCCACGACCTAAGATTAAGAACCTTGTACTCTATCAACTGAGGTATATGGTATTTTTTACTTTTAAAATGTATTTTTTAAATTTTATATCAGTGTATACTTTACTATTGATGACAAAGTCAACAAAGTTCTGCTTCTTCCAGGACCTCAGAATTTTATCTAAACGATTGATGAATAAGAAAATAGATAAAAAAGTAAAAAGAATTGAAGCGTGCAATTGTTATAGCATCGGATTATGATTCTTTATAATTGTTCATTTTGTTGTTTAGGAGGATGATGCCGTTTATCTTTAACCCAATATTGTTATTTATATTTGAACTAAATTTTAATTGTATTATTTTTATTTAATAATTTATTTTTTAATAGTTTTGGGGTTATTGAGAAATATTATTTGTTAATAATTTTTTTAGTCTATTGACAACACGTGTACATCTTACAAATATAACTACTTGAGTTTGAATCCTCTAAGAAAAAAATGGTTTTTTACTATTGAGATTATTCAATGATTCTTCGTGATAGAGTGAGACCAGTAAATTGTTATAAATGCGAAGAGATGTGTTTAATATAGATATTATATTTAAAATTATATGTTAAAAAATAAATAAAATTTATTTTGTTATTAGTTAAAAATGGGTAAATTACGTATTTAGTACAAACTATTAGTTTTGGTTCGTTTTAATGTCTAATTTTTAATTTTTTCAAATCATACCTAACATTCAGTTTTTGTTTCATTTTAGTACCCGCTGTTTAAAAATTTAGTTTTTATTTCATTTTAGTATCCCATTCGAAATTTAACGTTAAGTTTTGAGGAAATTGAAAGTTTAGGTACTAAAATGGATCAAAACTGATAATTTAGGTACTAAACGGTTTAAGTTTTTAACGGCGGTTACTAAAATGAAATGAAAACTAAATGTTAGGTATGAGTTGAAAAAAATTAAAAGTTTAGATATTAAACTGAACCAAAATTGATAGTTTAGATATTAAATTCGTAGTTTACCCTAAAAAAGTTAAGGTCACTATTTGGACGTCAAATATATGCTTAAAAAGACATGAGTACGAAGAAAAATAAGATAAAGAAGACTGCACAAACTCTTCACTACTCCGACGTTAATTTCGGGCAGCATTAGTTTATGTATGTGACAA